AACTAACCTGTAGTCCCTCTGGGAAGTCAGTTAGTGGGTGAAAACTAACCTGTAGTCCCTCTGGGAAGTCAGTTACATGGGTGAAAACTAACCTGTAGTCCCTCTGCGAAGTCAGTTAGTGGGTGAAAACTAAACCTGTAGTCCCTCAGTCGGTATCTTCCCCTTTCTCTGCTGGCTATCGGGTGAACAAAAAAAAGAGCTGGGCAGTACAATGCGGGGTATGTCAGTGTTCGGATTCGAATCCTGAAAGGGCCTAAAAAATAAAGAAGACAAAAAGCACAGAGAAGAAAAGAAGTAAAAGTTGTTGTATTCATGTTACTTGTTGCATCTCAATTCGAACTCATGACCTCTGAACCATGCACAGCTCGTGCAGATCTCCCAGCTATGTCCTTTGCACGGAGGATGGCTGACCACCTGTAAGCTGCATTCTAGAAAGCCACTGCCAACAAACGACAACGACCGCCAGAAACACATTAACGGGCCCCCCACTCACCGCTCTTTCCTTACGACCAGGCCCAAACTTTGTAAAACCAAAACAACGAAAACAGGCCAGCGCCCACCCAGAGCAAGACACACCCAGTTCCCCACCTCACTATCCCCCTTTTCAGCTTCATTCCACCCTCCCCATGATGCAAGCTCCGTGACACCAACGGGTCCCACGACAGCAACCGGGGATGCGGAGACGCAAAACGACAAGCGAATAACGCTGCACGCAGGTTTACAGGCTGCGAACTGATCCCAGATTGAAGGATGTGTCCCCCGCTACCTTCTTCCCCCGAATACAACGTACGGTCATTATAGCTGTATTTGAGGCATCTTTCAGTATAGATACGGCTATAATGACCGTACGTTGTATTCAGCGGAAGAAGGCAGCCTACGAGGGCTGCACGGCCTGGCACCGGTGCAGGGCGCCTGGCCATCTGCCTGCCTGAGGTACCCCGGGCATGTAAGAACTCTGGGATCGTTTTCCTTTTCTTTCTCATCATTAGGGCTTTTCTGGACCAAGGAAAACAAGCCCGAATCAGGGCTCTTTTTGTTCTTCAGTGCTGTACGTGGTTGGGGGAAAGGGGGGTATGAATGGGGCTCAAAGGGGCTTAAAGGGGTTTAAACTTTAAGGGGGGGTGCCTTAGTTTGATTACTTTGTTTTCTCCTTTATCTTCGATTCGATTAGGAATCTGATGTGACCCTCGGCCCAAAAGTTGTTTGCAAACTTTGCATTGCAATTCTAAACAACGTTTTTTTCCCCCAGAACTTTTGGATTTTTAATTAGTGTTTTTTTTTTTTTTTTTTTGGCGCTGGGGCTGCCCAGGACCCTTGTCGGGCTGCTAGGTCTGTGTCCGGGTGCAAAATTTGTGGCTGGACGCATGAAAAAAACAGCCTAGCCCCGCTGGGCTTTCTTACATGTTCAGTTTCCTGCCCAAACATGTCGTTGCAGGGTTTTCTGGGCTGGATGACCCGTACGGATAGGCGAGCCTGGACAGAGGCTCTTTTCTCATATTACGCTCCAGTCTTGCCCATCTTGCTTTGATGAATGACTGCTACTCTCATGAAACTTGATTGAAGTCTTTCATACTCTAGTTTCTTGCAAACGACTTGAAATAAGTGTGAATAGCAGAGTCCACCTGCCTGGGGGCTGAATGGTACCCACGTAGGACTGTTGACAAACAGGGTATGAGTTCAAACCCCGATGGATACAATACTGCTGTGGGCCTTCCACCAGGTAGAAAAGAAAGAAGTGTGAATAGCAAAGCAAACCGGTCGTAGTTCAGTGTGATCAACTCACATGAGTGCCAAATCTCCAAAGCAAGGGTAAGTTTTCCATGTGTAGTGATGGACCAAATTCCCCCACTGCGTCTCCGATTTCGTCCCTTCCTGTAGCATGAGAAGGAAGTCAACATTTGTTACACACTCTCTCCTAAAACAGGCATGCACCCTTCACTCACAAGAACTTAGACAGCAGTGGGACCGCACAGTATATCACTTAGTCCACCCAATATTCGCCGTAGACAATACAGTTGCCACCTGAATCCTTTTCAGCTGGCAGCTGCTGGCACCTAGACGACAACCATCGCCTGGAAGCCCCGCAGAAGAACTACCGGCTATGCTTCAACGACTGGACCACGACCTGCGACGATATCCCCCTCCCCCCTCCAACAGATTTCCCAGACCCTTTTCCCCTCCCCAGCCACACATTGATGGAATTGCGCTGGAATGTTAGGGAGTAGTGTGGGCCGCTCAATCGGGCCAGGAGGGAGTCAGATAGACTGGCAGTGGGAGCGGAGGGAAGAAGCACCTATCCCCGGTCGCCCCCTGGAGTAGGAAACCCTCCCCTCATCATTCCCACTACCATCTAGTCTGTTGCCCCCTGAGCCTAGCAGGTGCATGGCTCCGTGCGGCTTGACACATGCAGGAAACAACAGTCAGGTCCATGATTAGCTCTTGCACTTCCAGATACTGAATTCTGGTTACTATTGTTAAGGGACGCTGGACCCTTTTTCCAGCAGGTGCTGCTCCCCACCAATAGAATGGAGCCACCCGTGGGGGTATCACAGGGGGCTGCTCTTATAACCCCTAGGATAAAGCCGTGGGCGTTTTTAACTAACAAAAAAGAATGTAGATTATGTTTTCACCTTTCCGATAAAAAAAGAAAAGAACAGTTGCCAGCTGAATAGTGAGCAAATCTCTATGGTTGAGTGGACTGTCACAGCTTACACCACCACGGTTGAGTGGCCTGGTTACACCACCATTCACAGGGCTCTTCCTCTGAAGCGTGCAACGTACGTGCGGCTGGTTTGATGCATCAATTGGAAAATTTTCTTTCGAAGGAGAAAATTGGCACCGTCATCCGCTTTCGGGGTTCTTCTACCTTTTTCGTCGTCTTCGGTGCAGTGACGTGAGGAAGCGGACACGGAGCGTCCGCGTAATCATCGACCACCATTCCCATGACCGCGTGAGCTTCGCACTGCAACCGTTCTTATTATCCACGTGGGAGTGTTATGACCCTCGCCAATTTCAAGATACACATCCACCGGAAAGTACAATGCCATCCAATTGCAGAAAAAAATGAATGAACTTGAGAGGAGAGAGAGAGGATTAGAAGAAGAAGAAGAAGTAAGAAAGAAGAAGAAGAAGATGTACACCAGCAAAGACAATGACAAGGCTCTTCTTCTTCGCCCAACAATCTCCTCCTCCTTATCTCCCCCTTCTCTTATTCATACAAGAAATAATAATACAATGTTGAATGACTGATCCAGAATCAATGTCCGAGTCCCTCTTCTACTGCAGGTATCACTTAAGGTCCA